AGAAATAGGTTAAATAATGGATAATATAGGAATTTTATATTTATTACTTAAAAAAGTGTGTAGATTGGGGAAAATAGATCAGGAAGCATCTTTTATTAGCTTTGGTTAATCGAACTTCTAAACCACCAGGGGTTTTTAAAAGTCCGTGTTGATAGATTTTACCAAACACTCTTTATTATTGACGAAGAACTTTCCGGACTTAGAAGTCAGTTTTGCGGCTACAGGAAGCCCAGCCAAACAGACCCTTAATTTTTTGGTGGTGGTTTTTTTAGGCATTGTAGCCTAATTTTGCATTGTATCCTAATGGTAATTCTTCACCTTACAAAGTAGAAGGTCGATGGTTCAAGTCTTCAAATAGGCAAAATGGGTGTGTGGGTGGTGTGTGTGTAATGACCCGGTCATTTTCCTTCTTTTTCTTTTTCGGTGATTTCTTTTTTCGTCTTTTTTCCAGATTTGTCTTTTTCTCGTTTATTGTTTTCTTTGCATAACCTCACTTTTTGTGCTTGGATTTGACTCCAGCTTTGCATGCATCCATAATATTTGATTTCCAAGGTAATTGTATTTTTACTTTTATAGAAAAACATGCTAGTTGCTTACACTTTGGTAAAGGGCATGGATGCATACTTTTTTTGTAAATATTCTAATCTTTTGGGGGTATTGTGTAATTATGCAAAGTAATTATTTTTCATCTTAGGGACCATTTTGCAATTTAATTTGGAAGATATTTAAGAAAATGACTTTTTTGCAATTTTTGAAAAATGTGACAAGTGTCACACTCCCATGGTGCCACTTGTTGGTATTGGGGTGGAGTGACTTGGAAGCCTTATCTCTTGACATTTGGAGGGTGGAGATTCACCCACTTGTTGGCCTAGGATAGGTGCACTTGTTAGCTTGGATGGTTGACAAGTGTAGGCTTAGGATTAAGCCTCGGAAGGAGCCATGGATTGGTGACAGATGTAGGCACCAAATTGAGTCTTGCATTGTGTGTGTGAGAGAGAGGTAATGTAAAAACACCTAGTAGTGGAGGAATACTAGATCCTCCACCCACCATTTTTCTTTTTCTCATCTTTATTCCTTTTGCTCTCAATCCGAACCTAGCCTCCATTGAAGGAAAAGCTAGGCATAAAGCTTATTCCATCATTTTGGCCTCCTTCCACTCACTTTAGACCTTAAACCTTGGGAAGTAAAAGTTTCCTTTCACTCCCTTCTATAAAACCATAGTTTTGTTTTCTATTTTAAGCTTGGTTGCTTTGGATTATAAAGATTCAATTCTCTATTGAGGTAGGGGTGGTAGTATGTTTATGTTTTGAATGTTTTATAATCCTTTGGGGTTTAATATATATTGTGTACATGCTTTAATATGGTAGTCTTGCATATTATAAGAAATCCTCACCTTTAACTTAAGATTTATTGATTTAAGCATGTATGATATGTATCTATATTATGTAGAATTATTGATGTCATATAGAATTCTTATTGACTTGAATTACTATATTTATTGTGATGATAATTCTATATTCTTGTGGATTACTAAATATTAAAATTTAGTATATAGAACTTATTTTTTAGGCATGATTTAAATTGATAAGTTGGTGGTGTTGTATTGTACATTATACAATGAGGAAGACTTGTCATTTGGTATGGCATTTTAGACTTGGAACCCTAAGACATGGTTTATGTGGTTTCAAAATACTTGTGCATGGAAGGTGGTTTATATGCCTTAATTATAGTGTATAAGTTTTGAACTTGATTATGATTTTTGATTCTCTTGGGACATTGTTACAAGTGACATGGCTAGAGTTTAGCTCTAGTGCTGGAGGTATGAGTTCTCCCCATTTATAATGCGCACAAGGGTGGTCTTCCCAGCGGGTTAATACCCGACATAGCCATTTAGATCTTGGTTTATTCTGAGATGTGATATCCAAGTATTCCACTAATTGATTTCGCATTTAAATTCCAAGTTGACAACCAATGTTTAATTGTAACTTGTAATTCCTGTTATTGGTGAATTAATGTTGTTAAATACATTGATATTGATATGTGTTGTTAAATAATCATTTACGTTAGCTTAAAATGATCCCTTAGAATACCTTGAACATAGACGTTAAGTGGAATGATCCCTTGTATTCCTCTATATTGATCTTGCAATGATACTGAAACTTTAGGGTATACGCATATGCTTCTTCCTACGAGTAACTTGATTACTGATCCTAGTTGTTTGGGTTATTTTACAGGTACGGAGACTATGTTCTTGGATGTTCATCATCCTTAGAGGCTTATGAGTAATTTGGAACATTTTTGTATTTTGACATGCAAATGTTTAGCATACTTACTTTTAATGTTATATTTTTGCATACCATGGATGTATGGCATTTTAGAAGCTAAGATGGCTTCCTTAATATGTAATGTGTATCTAAGTACACTTTTTGATGCATATTTTGTATGTATAAAATGAGGCCAAGAGCCATTGGTTTTAAAAGTTCACAAGTATGTTTTTAATCTTGTTTTGGATCATTGGGAATGTATGTATAGCCTCAAGATTACCTTAAATTTGCTTACTATTTTGTTGTTCGGCTGTTTTCTCGTTTCTATTTTGTCATTCGGCAAATTGTTGACTTTTGTTTCGTCATTCAGCAATCAGAACTTCTGAACGCTGGAACCTTTTGTCAGAATGCTTGACCATGTAAGTTAGAACGTCTGAACGTTTGAACCTTTTGGCTGAACGTTGGAACCTTTTGTCAAAACGCTTAACCATATAGGTCAGAACATTTAAACGCTTGAACCTTTTGGTTGAACGCTAAAACCTTTTGTCAGAACGCTTGACCATGTAGGTCAGAACGTCTGAATGGTTGAACCTTTTGACTGAACGCTTGAACCTTTTGTCAGAACGCTTGACCATGTAGGTCAGAACATCTGAACGCTTGAACCTTTTGGCTGAACACTGGAACCTTTTGTCAGAACGCTTGACCATGTAGGTCAGAATGTCTGAACGCTTGAACCTTTTGGCTGAACACTTGAACTTTTTGTCAGAACGCTTGACCACGTAGGTTAGAACATCTGAATGCTGGAACCTTTTGTCAGAACACTTGACCATGTAGGTCAGAAAGTCTGAGCGCTTGAACCTTTCCTTTATTTCGCTTTGATCATCCTTCATTTCCGCATTTCGGATCCTTTAACGGGTCATCTTTTGGTCATCATTGACGTACCAGGTTTATAAAACTTGGGCCGTCACAGTGTGTGTGTACTTCTTACAAATGAAGAAAAAAAAGATCATAATGTTAGAGGTGTCTCACATTGAATCCAGATGCAAAGTGCTACTCAACAGCTTACACACACTTTTGGGTTAGAGGGCAAGTGTCCGACCCGTTATAGTTGGTATCAGAGTCATATGTCACACCAAGCTCCCACGCCTAAGTGAGCCCACCTGGAAGGTGCTCGGGTTCGGCCAAGTAGGCAGGGTAGTTCGACTATCAGGACTGACCCTGAGATTCCAAAATTTTGAGAGACCCTAAGCAAACCTTCAAATGCGAGCCTAAATTTGAGGCCCTTCTAAATTTGGGGACCTAAATCATCATTTCACTAAGAGTGTTTGGGCCTTTTAAACTTGTTTATCTATATATATATATATTAGCCTATATCCTAATCATTTGAGGTACTAGGCGACAGCCTAGACCCGAGCCGACCATGTTGACTACAACCAGGGTGTTATGCATATTTGTAAATTTTTTATACATCACATGCGAGTTAATGGTCATGTATATTCATAACCAATAATAGGTTGAACATTGAAATGTAAAATGATAACTATAAAGTCTGGATCATCTGCCAGTTTATGGTTGTGATACCCATCGGATCCGAGACACGGGTTGATCAGGCCCAAACCCAAGGGATATCAAACAATTAATATGTCATAACGAACACAGATTACAAAATGAAATAAAAATTAAAATTTTAAGAGCTGAAAGAAAAACTAAAATATAAAATCCTTTAATATTAAATATACTTAAATCCCAATAATCCAAAACCTCCATAAGTTAAACAACTTGGGAATCCATCTCCAGTGGACCCCTAATAAAAATCCGAAACTGAAATTAAAGTAGAGCTGAAGATAAAATCCAAATCTATTATCTGGAAAGAAGTCCTACATCGTCGGTAAAGTGGAAGATCATCTCTGCTTAGCACGAACAAGCTTAAGCCTGGAACTGACGTACACCTGAAAAAGAGGAGTGGGTCAGGCCTACGAACAAGTTCTATCCTACTACAATCCAAGCAGAGACTCTATACGCATGTACATACTAAATAGTTCAACAATAACTAATAATCCATACATAAATATATCCACACTACTAGACTCTCGCTAGACTATGAAGAGGGTCTCAACCTGAATAGAAGGCATCACACCAAACGCACCTGAGTGAGCATGAGTACCTAAACCTAAACAGGGTATACCTCAACCCTCACAGCTAGCTACATATCCAATTGCATATACGCACCCTAACCATCGACACTGAGACTCAAGCTCATGTCGCGGTATCATAAAAATATATCTAAACTCCGTTCCTAACCATCCACAAGAAATCCAATAAGTCGTTCGGCGTATTTGTGAGGACCTGCATTTTTATCATTTTTTTGAACATTTTAGCATTCATGCATTTTATTTTTATTGTCAAAAATATGATTATTTTGCAAATGTGAATTAAACATCATTATGTGTTAAGAAATATTATAGATTATGTTATGCAAATAACATATTTGTCAATTGGTATTTCATAAAGGGCATTATGGACTTTTTGTTTTACAAATGGAATACATGGTATTTGATAATTTGATCAAGGGAAAAGTAGACTTTTACTATGCAAATAGCATAATTGGCATTTGGTTAGTTGTGAAAGGGTATTCTTGACTTTTATCATGCAAATGGCATGAATGGTATTTAGTAGGAAATAAAAGGACTTTTGAGTCATTTCTTATGATTTTGGTTTTAATCCATGGAGGGGATGACATATGTAGGTGTATGTCGTTGCACCATATCCATTCATTTTATAACATATAGTATGCCTAGTGTTTTGTTCTTAGAAACCATTTTGGCAAAACCCAATTTTCGTGCATTCTATTTCCTTTCCATAGTGATACCTTTTAAGCTCAATTTTGGAAGCTTTGTGTTGGGATTTTGATGGGGCTTTGTGAAGGAAAAATGTTCCTTAGATAGTGAGGGTTCTTTTGATATTAAACTTGAATCCATTTCTTTTGTTGCTGGGTTTGGAAAGTGGTGTTAAAAGAAGAGGGTTTTGGTTGCAAATAAAGAAGGAAGTGTTCTTCATTTTCTACCTTGGAAGGCTTTGATCCATCATTTGAGTTGCTTTAAGTTGTGATTGTTGCTGAGTTTCAAGCTTCTTTGAGGTAGGATTACTTAACTCTCACACCCTTTACCTTTAAGGAATCAATTCTATGTGTTTTGTGCTTAAAACATAGGCAGCTACTTGTTTTTCGCAATTCTGGAATCACAGCAACCTGAACTTCAAAGGATCATAACGTCCTTGTTTTAAGTCCAAATTGAACGATTTTTGAGTCTAAATTGACTAGCTCGAAACAAGATTTCCAATGATACCAAATTCAGCCTTAGATTCCAACTGTGCAAAAAGTTATGATCTTGTAAACATAGGCTGCCAGTTTTGCGCTGTAATCTGCAGAATTTCCTGCACAGCGACCTGAACTTCAACTGACCACAACTCCACCATTTTAAATCCAAATTGAGCGATTTTTGAGTCTAAATTAACTAGCTCGAAACAAGCTTTCCAAAGATACCAATTTGAGCCTTAGTTTCTAACTGTACAAAAAGTTATAATCTTGTAAACATAGGCTACCAGTTTTGCACTGTAATCTGCAGAATTTCCTGCACAGCGACCTGAACTTCAACTGACCACAACTTCCTCATTTTAAATCCAAATTGAGCAATTTTTGAGTCTAATTTACTAGCTCAAAACAAGCTTTCCAATGATACCAATTTCAGCCCTAGATTATAACTGTAGAAAAAGTTATGACCTTGTAAACATAGGCTGCTACTTGAAAATTAGAATGTTGGTTGTTATGATATGGGAAGTTTTGTACTTGATTTCCTAAATGTTATTAAGCACTATTTACATTGTTATACGGCAAATGTGAGTTAGAAAGCATGCTTCTTATGTTATACAACCATGGGTTACTTAGCCTGTTAATTTACCATGCTTGTGTGTGGATTAAAATGCAATACCATGATATTGTATATGAGTTGAGATTTCTATATTTACTTCATTATCTGTACACATGTTATACAAATGTACATGCATCTCACATAAGCATGGGGGTGATGTTGGAATGAGAAGGAAAGTGCAAATGTTTTATTAAATGGTTTTGAAAACCGGATAACAGGGAGGTGCCTTGTATCCGTGAGTTTGGAAAAGAAAAAGGGAATTGAATCAAAGATTTTAAAACCGGACAAGGAGTTGCCTTGTCTGTGCAGTTAATGGAAATCTAGAGAAGACGTAGGAGTTGCCTACGTGTAATTGTGTCACTAGGCCCCAAATAATTACAAGGAGTTGCCTTGGATCAGGGATAGATGATCAATTCTCTTCTCGTGGTATAGGGAGCAGCTCTGGCCGGATTACATTAACTTTTTGTGATGGAAATGGGACTTTGGGAAGTGAGAGGTGTCAGTGACATTAGCATTGGCATTGGCATTACATGGCACTTCATTTTATTATCTCATATGATATGTTACTTTCCCCTGAGCTTGTATGATCCCTTTATCATTTATCCGTCCTTTGTTTGGATTCACGGAGGAATTAAGGAGTGCGCTTTAAGTAATTCCTGCTAAGTTGTGGTTACTCATTCCTATTTTAAACATATCTTTTCAGGTCATGGCACGGATGGAATGGAAGGTGTTCCTCCTCAGTTGTAGATAGAGTCGGGGCTAGTGTTGTAGTGTTTTGTTCCGCATAATAGACTATATTTTGTCTTATATTTCTTTAGAATTTTCCTGGCATGTAATAAATGTTCTTTCAGACTTTAAAACTTTAAAGTTTTAATATTGGCATCTTATCTATTTATTTTCAGTCTTGATTTTATAAAGGGAAATGGTTAGGTGGATGCGTGGTTGAGACAGGTTACAAGGATATTTATTAATTTTGAGACTATGATTATTTGTGTGTTGTGTTCATAATCCAGACCACGGTCTAGGGGCGTGACAGTATTCAACCGCACTGACTCATAAATATAAGGAGGATTTTATTTAATAACCCATACCCTTACTCCAAAATAGGTAGGACTTAGCAATTTGAGCTAATCTAAACCTAGTATGACACCGTCCCATACCAGTGCATACAATCTCTTCCATCCAATAGTTGATAAAGTACTTACAGTTAAATAACAATATCAACAGTTCCATACCAAGCATAACGTATTAGCAACCATTCTTAAATAATACCAATAATTAATTAACATTGAAAATATAAATATTAGTATCAACTATTCCATACTAAGTGTATTAAAGCAAATTATCAAACATGCTTAATTAAATTAACAGTCGATAAAATACTAACCATATAAATGTCAATACCAAGAATTCTAGACTAAGCATGTTAGAATGTATTAACAAGCATGCTTAATTAAACCAATACAGAAACCATAACTTGATCACACAGGACTGTATCTGTATTATAACTCTATTCCCAGTTTCCATATAATTAACAGAGCCTATATAAATATTGTCTCATTCAATTCCATCGCATGCAACATAAATATAAGTAAATTATCATACTTATAACTTTCTGCTCAACAGATTGATGCACCACATTCTAGAACTTTAATCACCAATTTATCTTCGGAAAACATAGATTCCTAGTAACTATTTCTATTCTTTGAATATGAAAATAGCAGTGAACAACTCTCACAGAAACTTCTAAAATAATTAAGAATTAAACTATCCAAAACCCAATAGGTCTGCCAAGCATATACAAATTCCATACAGTTTCAATAGTTAAACTCAGTGTCTAAATCTATGTTCTTCTGTTCCTTTGGACTTTAATCTTCCTCTGGACAATCTCTAAACATCCATTACAATATCTATTCTACTCAGAATAATTTAGAAAATCAACTACCAAAAACCTTCCTTACTGAAAATTGAAAAACAAAACCACAGAACGGAAAAAACTGGAAAAACAAAAGATGGAGCAGGCTCCAAAAATACTCGGAGCCGCCTTCAAAGGCCTTGGAGTCGCCTCCAAGTAAAAGGAGCCGGCTCCAATCCAAAAGGAGCCGGCTCTCTCCCTCCTCTTCTCCGTGTTCTCTTTTCCGGCATCGTCTACACCTCCGGCCCTTCACTGCTTAGGTTCCCAGAACTTGTAAATGAGTTCCAGTAGATTACCAACCCTTGTTTAAGTCCTTGTTACAACTACTAACAGGGATTCAAATAGAAAACAATGCAGGAAAGTTTACAATTTAACCAGTTAAACAAGTATAACACGTACTGTTACAATTTAAATTTTAAAGATGTAAACAGACAACGTTTTTTCGTTTTAAAACGTGTAACTCATTCCTGGAACTATTTACGTATGCAAAGAACATGAAGCCTAAGGGAGAGAGTAATGATAGAACTTGCCTTTAAGACTTTTGTTCAAAATCTCTACACCGTCTTCGAAAGTTCCCGGCAATTCTTGCTGAAAAAATTCCTTTGTTCCTCCTCTCTGCTTCCAAAGACGTATTAGGTTTATTTTTCTTAAACCCTAAACCACCGTATAAGCCTATTTATAACCTTAAACTATAAACCCTGATCCATGTATAATTCGGCCCATACGTAACCCTAGGTTAAAATCATGACGGCTACTTATGTGTATACTAAATATGCAACCAACCCTACTGTAACGTGAAGTTTAGAAAACACTTATCTTTAATTAAACAATTTCATATCATTTATATAAAACAATTAAAATTAAAACCCCAAAAAATAATTTAAACCATTCATCTCAAATAAATCAAATAAAACACCAAATAATAATTTAAACCATTCATCTTAAATAAATCAAATAAAGCAAATAAAAACAATTAATGAAATAAAACAATTAAATAACGCTATTAAAAAAAAATGCAGTTAAATAATTAATGAAATTCCAGGACTATCCTTTATAAATTTAAGGGTATTACATTCTTCTCCCCTAACAAAAGGAATTCTGTCCTCGGAATTCGCTCTTACCTTCTTCCAAAATATCAGGAAACTGCGAGCGAATAATATCCTCCCGTTCCCAAGTGGACTCAGCCTCATTATGGTGACTCCACTGAACACGAACTAAAGGGATAACCTTGTTACAAAGGATTTGATCCCGACGGTCGACAATACGATACGTTGGCTCCAGATAAGTTGCATCCAGCTGCAACTCAATCTCCCCAACATCGATATGCTGATACCGATCATCATCTCGCAGAAATTTCCGCAACATGGAAACATAGAACACATTATGGACACTATCCAAATTATCCGGAAGTGCCAACCGATAAGCGACAGCTCCAACTCGATCCGTAATCATGAATGGACCGATAAACCGTGGAAACAACTTCCCTTTCTTTCCGAAGCGCATTACACCCTTCATAGGCGACACTTTGAGTAGACCCTGATCCCCAACTTGAAATTCCAAAGCACGAGTGCGACGATCAGCATAGCTCTTTTGCCTACTTTGAGTAGTACGCATGCAATCTCGAATAAGAGCAATCTTCTCAGAAGTATCCTTGATGAACTTAGGACCCAAGAATCTACTCTCACCAACCTCCATCCAATAAACAGGCGATCGACACGAGTGGCCGTATAACGCCTCAAAGGGTGCCATCCCAATAGTCTTTTGGAAACTATTGTTATAAGTAAACTCTACAAGTGGTAAGTAATCCTCCCAGTGGTCTTTTAAATCAAGAACACACGACTGAAGCATATACTCCATCATTTGATTCACCCGCTCAGTCTGTCCATCAGTCTGAGGATGATAAGCAATGCTAAGATGCAACTCTGTACCCAGAGCCTGCTTCAAACTCTTTCAGAATCCTAACACAAAACTCGACTCCCCGTCCGATATAATAGACAATGGAATGCCGTGCAACTTCACAATCTCGGCAATGTAAAATCTCGCCAACTGCTCCGAAGTGTAGTAAGTACGAATAGGCAAAAAGTGAGCTGATTTCATCAGTCTGCCCACGATAACCCAAATAGAGTTGTGATCCTTGAAAGAGTTTGGTAATCCCTCCACAAAATCCATAGAAATGCTCTCCCATTTCCACTCCGGTATTAGTAGTGGCTGTAGAGCTCCTGGCAGCCTCTGATGATCAATCTTGACCATCTGACAAGTACTACATCGTGAGACAAAAAGAGCAATGTCCCTCTTCATACCCGCCCACCAAAACTGCCGCTTTATATCCTGATACATCTTATCGCCTCCTAGATGAATAGAGAACTCAGAGTGATGAGTCTCAGTCATCACATCCTTCCTCAAATCATCAGCAAAAGGTACCACTAACCGTCTCTTGTACCTTAAACCTCCATCACCCCCAACATAGTAGAATGAAACTTCTCCGGAAGCTATCTCTGCAACCTTGTCAATACACTGCTGATCCGTGAGTTGTGCCTTCAAAACCTTGTGAATTATAGAAGGTGTAACTACCATACAAGCCATGAACGCATCCGATAATTCATCCACCTTCTTCAATGCATTCCACTCAGTAGTGAATAGAGTAGAAAGACTACCAACATTCACTTTCCCTGGATGGTATTGTATAGAAAAATGATAGTCTTTCACAAACTCCAACCACCTGCGCTATCTCATATTCAGCTCCCGCTGAGTGAACAAGGACTGCAGACTCTTGTGATCACTAAATAATCTGAAGGACTCACCCAACAGTTAATGCCTCCAAATACATAAAGCAAAGACCACAGCTGCCAACTCCAAATCATGCGTTGGATAATTAAGCTTATAAGGCTTAAGCTTCCGAGATCTATAAGAAATCGGTCGCTCCTCCTACATTAAAACACATCCAAGACCCTGCAACGAAGCATCCGTGTAGACAAAATACTTTATCCCGCTCTGTGAAGTAGCCAGAACTGGTGCAGAAGTCAACTTCCTTTTCAGCTCATCAAAAGCTCATTGACAATGCTCATCCCACACGAACTGTACACCCTTCTTGGTCAGATGAGTGAGTGGTCCTGCTATCTTGGAAAACCCCTTAATGAACCAATGATAATATCCTGCCAAACCGAGAAAACTCCGAATCTCGGTAGGTGAAGTAGGCTGTCCCCACTCTACCACAGCTGAAACCTTGGCTGGATCAACCGCTATCCCCCTTTCTGACACCACGTGACCCAGAGACTTCACTTCCCGCTGCCAAAATTCACACTTCTCGAACTTGGCATATAACTGGTGCTCACGAAGCGTCTGCAAGACTATGCGAAGATGTCTAGCATGGTCGTCCTCAAACCTAGAATAGATCAAGATATCATCAATAAAGACAATGACAAACTGATCCAAATAAGCCTGAAAGACTCTGTTCATTAAATCCATGAACACTACAGGTGCATTAATCGTCCCAAACGGCATGACACGAAACTCATAAGAACCATATCTCGTGAGAAATGTTGTCTTAGGAACATCCTACTCCCTAACCCTCAGTTGATGATACCCAGAATGTAGATCAATCTTGGAAAAGTATGTAGCTCCCCGTAACTGATCAAACAAATCATCGATCCTGGGTAGAGGGTACTTGTTATGATTAGTAACCTTGTTCAACTCCCTGTAATCTATACACAAGCAAAGCGAACCATCCTTCTTCTTCACAAATAGAACCGATGCTCCCCAAGGTGATGTACTCCTACGAATAAAACCCTAGCTGAGTAACTGCTGAATCTGATCCCTCAACTCTCTCATCTCCACCGGTGCCATCCTATAGGGTGCCCTAGCAATAGGCGCAATGCCTAGAGCTAAATCTATCACAAAATCGATCTCGCGACTAGGTGGTAACCCTGGAATCTCCTGAAATACATCCAAGAAATCCTGTACAATCGGTATGTTATCCAACGATACAG